CGCTCTAGAGTCCAGTGGCGCCGCTTTACACCACTGCATTCGACGCTTTGCATTGCGCTTGGTGATGTAAGGCTTGGATGCAGCTGCTCGGCCATGGAAACCCATTCCATAAAGCTCTCTACACTGTTCTTGAGCTAATCTGAAGGCCACGTTAAGTTTGGAGGTCTGTAGCAATTGACTCTGTAGAAAGTTGGCGACCTCTGCGCACTATGCGCCTCAGCATCCGCTGACCCCGCTCTGTCATTTTACGTGGCCTACCACTTCGTGGCTGAGTTGCTGTCGTTCCCAATAGCTTCCACTTTGTTATAATACCACTGACAGTTGACTGCGGAATATTTAGTAGCCACAAAATGTCACGGCTGGACTTGTTGCACAGGTGGCATCCTATCACGGTACCACGCTGGAATTCACTTAGCTCCTGAGAGCGACCCATTCTTTCACAAATGTTTGTAGAAGCAGTCTGCATGCCTAGGTGCTCGGTTTTATACACCTGTGGTCATGGAAGTAATTGGAACACCTGAATTCAATGATTTGGATGGGTGAGTGAATACTTTTGGCAATATAGTGTACTTTGCACAGAACTAGACACCAGGGTTTCACAGTCATGATCAGCTGAATCATACTCCAATATCACTAAATGATCTGAAATAGCATTTACAGGTGCCCTTTTGATCACTATATTATTACAATTGCAAGCCAGTTACTCCACCTTTGTGCTGTCACTGAAACAATCCTGCCATTTGAGAACAAAGAGGAAACTGATTGTGGAAATTCCACAGTGAGAACCTTATGCAAAACAATAGGAGCAACAGCTAAAACAAACCGATAGGTTGCCTGAATTGCTCTCAGGCAAGTGCAACCATGTCTACTTTAGCAGAGTAATAAAACACAGGCCTCTCTCTGTCACCATGATTTTGCATTAAAGAGCTAGACACAAACCCTTGTGATTCTGGAACATACAGGGTGAATGGTAGTTCCATGTTCACTAGGCCTAGGACTGGGGCATGAAGCAGTTTTAAGAGAACAAAAAACTTGTAACTGATCATCATTTAGCTGAAACTCAGGTTTCGTATTTTCTGTTTTAGTTAGATTGTATAGTGGTTGAGCAGTTTTTTGCATAATCTTCAATCCAAAGCCGGCAGTAATTGCACAATCCCTGAAAAGACCCTAGCTGTGCTAACATAACAGGTGGTGAAATAGCACGCACCACAGCACATCGGTCAGGTAAAACTGAGCTCTTAGTCTCTGAAAACAGCTGTCCTACATACTGAACAGAGGATTGGTTAATCTGGGCCTTTTTAAGAAGCTTTGGGTCCTAGCAAGTGTAGGTAATCTAACATAGCTAGCAAGTCACGTTCTTGTTCCTCTGCATTTGAGGAAGTTATCAAAATGTTGTCTATATATTGTACAACCATACTAGTTATTGTTGGAGCATCAGATGAGGCTGTTTACGTAGGGCTTGATGATAAATAGTAGGTGAATTATGAAGGCCTTGCGGTAATCTGATCCACTGGTATTGTTGGGAACCTACAGTAAAAGCTAGCCATGGTTGATAATTTTCATGCAAAGGTACTGACCAAAATCCATTTGTCATATCAATTACAGGGAAAACGCAATGCTCAGGATGCAATCCATTAAAAATAGTGGATGGATTAGCTACCATAGGTGCAAGTTTTGTAATGCATTTTTTGGCTTCACAATGGGGGAGGAATACCAGTCAGTTTGACAGGTTCAACTTTTAGTAAGCCACAATCTGTGGGATATTTGGACCAAATAGGGTGTTCTTTAATGGTAGACAAACTAATTGTAGCTAATAATCAAGTCACAGAATTTGGGGAAATTATATCCATACCTAAAATATGAGTTTACCCACAAAGGCACTGACAATTTATGTGGACCCCATTGTATCTCTAATGTTTCACACAGGTGTAACTGAGTCTGACCAGTAACTCCAGAAGCTAAACTTTCTTCTTTTGACAAAGATATTTTTAATGAATTTGCCAGTGTTAAGGGGTAAGACGGATATTTGGGCACCCGTATCAAACAAAAAATCAACACCTGTGCCACATATGGTCAAGTTACAAATAAATGATCATTATAAGGATTAACATTTAACTGAGTGCCCAAATTGTGTTGCACAGTGTCTATTAGTTTAAAGACCCTGCTGGAGGAGCTGTGGGCTGTATGGTATGCTGTTGTACATATTTTAGGATTGCACCTGCTTGCTCAGGAGAAACAGCAGCGGCCTTGCTCTGGCTCTTGTTATAATTACAGTACGGTCCTGAGCATGCTTTTTGTATGACAATCTTTCTGTCAGTGTTCTACTTCCCCACAATAGCTCCTATGAGCATTGGATTGTGTTGCAACATTACCTTGTTTAGCGATGACCTGTTGCCCTGGTATGGTTAGCATGCACTTTATGGGTCTTAGATAGGTCATGCTCTAAATCTGACATTAAGGTCACAAGGTCTCTAAAATTCCTGACTTTCCAGTCTCTATAAGCAATGGGCAGCTGTTGTTTAATTGTGTTACTTAAGCCATCAAACAAACATTGGTGTAATGGACTGGGACCTGTAATTCTGTCCAAAGTATCATCCCCATATTCTGTCAGCCCAGAATGTGCCAGAAAACATTCACAAAATTGAGTAGTATAAGCAGGTACAGATTCACCTTTTTCTTGTTTGCACTCAGCTATTGTAGCTCAGGAAGCAACATCTGACCCATGATCCTTAATGAAAGCCTCAATTACTTTTCTATGCTCATCTATGAGTTTTCGTCTGCAACTAGTTCATCGTGCAATTATTGTATCTCTCAGCAATATGTTGAGATAAAATAACACCTCATCCAATGGATGCAAGTTATATAATTGTCTTTTTACAATGCAACATACTAATGAAAGGAAGAGTACCCATAACCCAAGGGTGTTTAAAATCCTTACTTAATTTATCAAGTTGTTCTAAACTAAGGGGTATATGTTGGTCTTTTACACATCCTCCCCCTGTGGCTAAATGTGTGACTGTCCTCACCAATGGAGCACTTCATTTAAGATGGTTCATTATTATCAGAATCTGGTCCTGACTCACTATCCTGACTATCACTAGCCCTCAAATCTGGATATATTTTTGGACTACCTGGTGTTGGTGTAGGTTTACAGGGAACTACAGCCTGATTTGACTTTAGTTTCTCCTCCTTCAAATTTGTCGGATGCTTTTGTTGCAGTTTTTTATACGCTGACTCCAGCTTGTCAATTCTAGTTTTGAGATGTTATTTCTTGCTCATAGCATTTACGCTTAGCCTCCATAAATTGCCTAGTTTACATAACTGTTCATCTAATCTGACAATGAATACATCAACAGACCAATCAGGGACCTCCCTACCACCCCTCTGTGACTTTTCTCCGGCCATGGGCTTACAAACAACAGGCCAACAATAAATTCCTTCATAGTACTAGGAGAGGGGTCAGGCTAAGTATGGACCTAGTTTTTATGCCGTTATAATGTTATGAAACTATTGCTTTCACTCTTATTGCACAGATTTAGTGAAAGTGCATATTTTGGTAAATGATTAATCTCTCCAATTACATTACACATAACAATTTTGACCACTAATTTGTAAACAACACATGGTGTAATTTTCACTGGAATCCTGTCATTGAGATAATATCTTGAATATCTATTTTGCATAATATCTTGGCACATACTGTACATGTAAATTGTAATAAACATACCAAATATTCCTTGAAAAATGACTCTGAATGTCTTCTTTCAAATAGATGACCAGGCTTTTTAGGATTCAGTCCCTCCTGATGTCAATGTCATCAAACTACAACAAGGAAAAATCAAGATAGAATTTAACCGAATTATATGCCAACTTGTTACACATTATTGCTGCTGTACACATTTTATGTGTAGGAAAATGAGAACTGATTTCTTCATAGTTAAATAAGCAACTAGTTCTCTTAGTTGCTCGATATTGTGTTTATAACAAGCTGAGTGTTGTATTTATGAAGGAACTGTTTTTTTATCGAATCAATATAGTTTTAGTTTCATGGCTAATTACGGATAGTTGTGAAGGCTGTGTGTCGAGTCTCGTAGCTCACCTGGTAGAGCGAGGTATGAACAGATCAATGGGAGTGAGGTTGGTTTCTGTGTAGGCGACTGTCTGAAGATTACAAAGTGCCAATATATTTTGTTAAAGGTGTTTTATGCTGCCTCATATGTAAAAACATGAACAATATACTGTATATATACCTGATTTGTGTTTATAAAAACATCTTAAGAACTTGCAGTGTATTTAGTGCTGTGGTTCCTGTGAGTGACCCCCAAAAATACAAAAAGCTGAAAGAAGCTTCACATCTTTTCATCTGATTTTAAACTGCTCTTTTTTTTTTGCAAGTTGAACAATTAGCACTTTCATGTGTTTTCTCAAACTATAAATTATATGTACTGAGGAAAAAATCTAAATGTTTGTTTTAATACATTTAAGAAAATATAATAATTTGTTGTTTTTAACTATATAAAATTTCTCACAGTTCTTTATTCTTATTATTTTATTGATCATTTGATTGTTTATTGTTTGGTTAGTAGCATATCTCCAGATTTTCAATGACATTTTAGTTATTTGCTTATAAAATTAATAGTAAACTGTAAGACATTGAACAGCATGTATCAGATGTTTATGTAATATTTAGAAAGTATATAACCTGATATAAAAACACACACAACCACAGATAAAATAGTTACACAATAATAATAACAACGAAAAAACAAACAATAGACAAAATATGTCCATCCTTTATTCATATAACAGCAATAGGCTATAAGGCATTTCAAACTCATAGTATGAGAGACTCTTACATGTGCGGTGACGCTTGTTTAATGTAAAAACATAAAGTGTTTTATAACATTTTTAGAAAGTGAATTATTAACATGCATATTTATTATTAATATAAACCAAAACGTATTTAGCGCTAGAAACTTTTATTTTGAAAAACACTTCCGGTTGTGGTCGGACTCCGCTCGCTACTGTTGTTGTCTCCACACAGCGTTGTGTTTGGGGGAGACTCTGAAACGGAGACTCAGTCTGAGATTAAAGAGCTGTAAGTGCTGCTTTAAGCTGATTTCAGTCCTTATATGTCGGTGTAACTGACTGATGAGGGTCTTTAAATGTCTGTTAGAGCCTCATTGATGGAAACGCTGCTCATCATCGCTGCAGTGATTTAGAGGAGGAGCTGCTGTGATCGGGTTTGGGGAACTTATGTGTTTCTTCACGCTGTGTTTATTAATGTCTACCGTCTGAAATATTCAGATAGTTAATGTAAATATCTTAATTTGTGTGTTTGGGTGTCTCAGATGGTGGTTTGTAAATGGGCTGTATGTCTGAGGAGCCGCAGATGTGGCTTTTCCCTTTCTGTGTATGATATGGAGGTGTTTTTATAAGAATACACAAAGTTTAAAGTGGGGTTATACACTGGCTGCAGCAGCTGATCATGTGATTAAGTGATTATTCTTTTTTTGTATTTATTTGTAGCATATGGATTATGATGCTGATTATAATGCTGATTATATGTATAATCTTAAAATTAGTGTTTATTCAGTAGCAAATAACTCAGCCAATCTAGTGATGTCTTCTGGCTGTTATGAGTCTTTTAAGGTTGAATCTGATCCTCTACTTTACAGATTCATGGTGTTTTATAATGACATGAATTGCATATATTGACTTTCAGATGTTCTTTCAGTAAATTGTGAATCATGTGAAATTCACTGTGTTTTGGGACCTTTTATTAAAGAGGTGAACTTAAACACAAATAGCTGTTTATACTAAGCTGATGTCAGAGAAATTACATTGTTGGTAGTTTATTGTCTGTAGAATCAGCCTTTTGAAGACATGAGTATAAAATCTCTGGTAAATGTGATTCAGACAGCTGCTTTATGTTAGCCGGCTAACAGTTTGGGATAATAGCTGTTGTTAGTAATGGATTCTAGCTAGTGTAGCTAAATATAAACAAAGTCTATCAATTTCATCATCAAATATGAAAGAGTCCATTATATGTACAAACGTGGAGAATAAATAGTAGTTTGTTCTAGAACAATATGAAGTGCTTCCTGAGAGCTGTGAATGTCTAGGTGGGGTGAACATCAATGGCTGGTAGATCAAGAGCGGGTAGGAGTGTCTATGGTGGGTGTTTGAGGTGGTCTGTTTGGGGGGTTTGTTCTGGGGGGTTTGTTCTAGGGGGATGTAGTGTGGGAGAGCTTGATGGTCGAGTTCAGATGTGATGGGGCGGGTAGTCGTATTCATGATGGAGTTATTCTTCGTGCAGATCTTTGTGGTCTTAACAGCAAACAGTACTTCAGTACAATTAAATACAGATTCATCGGTGTTGGATGTGCCACTTGTGATGACGATGCTGAAACGGTGTCCTGTAGCCCTATTTTGTGCTAAATGACAAGTTAGGGCACCGCTGGTCAACTTATCTGTTAATGGGAATAGTTAAATGAGTAGAAGATGAACTGATCTCTGAAAGGCATAAAATTAATGATGAAACATTCTTTTCTATGTTTTAAGCAAGATCAGTGTGTTATTCTACTGTGCAGCAACACCTACACAAACATGACCTTCATGAAGGAATCATCAAAAGAAAACCTTTCCTGTATCCTCACCACAACGTTCAGCATCAGAAATTTGCAGAGCACCATCAAAACCACCCTAATGCATTTTAGAAATGAAGTTAAAATAGAACTTGTTTGGAGAAAAAAAGTGTGCAGGATTTCATGAAAAGAACACCTCTCCAACTGTTTAGCACAGAGGTGGATCAATTATGCTTTGGGCTTGTGTTACAGCCAGTGGCACTGGGAACATTTCACTGGTAGAGGGAAGAATGGATTCAGTTAAACACCAGCAAATTCTGACAGCAAACACCATACCATCTGTAAAAAAAAACTGAAGATGAAAAGAAGATGATCCTAAACACACCACAAAATCTACAGTGGACTACTTCAAGAGGCACAAGCTGAAGGTTTTGCAATGACCTAAACATCATCCAAAATCTGGGTTTGGACCTCAGAAGAGCAGTGTGTGCTAGACTCCCCAAGAATCTCACAGAACTGAAAGCCTTTTAGAAGCAAGAATGGGTAAAAAATCCCCCAAACAACAATTAAAAGACTCATTTACAAGCTGTGATACTTGCCAAAGGAGGTGTTACCAAGTTCTGACCATGCAGCGTGCCTAAATGTTTGCTTTAGACACTTTTTGGTTACTTTGAAACTGTAAATCATGCAAGTAATCTTGCCTAAAATATTAAAGAATTGCCATCTTTTAACTTTATGGCTTTTAGAAATCAGGTCATCTTTTACTCACTTAGTTTTTCACAGTAACAGAAATTTTGACCAGGGGTGGCCAAACTTTTGCAGCTGTATATGGACTTACAAGTGATTTATGATTGTTTTGCATAGATGCAGATTCAAAGACCGAGTTTTCAAGATACAGAAACTGATTTTCTGCAGAGATTTAGGTATCGCCTTTATAAAGGGTGAGTGCCTAAAGCTGTAGATGTATCTAGTCAGGTTCGTAAGTATTTGAACAATTAATTTTAATTTTGCCTCTGTACACCAACACAATGGATTTGAAATGAAGCAGTCATGATTTGATTGAAGTTTAGACTTTTATCTTTAATTCAAATGCTTTAGCAAAATTATTGCATTAACGTTTTAGACATTACAGCCATTTTTATGTAGTTCCTCCATTTTCACCGGCTCAAAATGTAATTTGATAAACTAACATTAAAAAACAACTACTCCAGTTACATCTGAGGAGTGAAAATGGAGGGACTGTGTAATATTTTTGCAGTATTTTTGCAAAACTCCTTGAATTAAAGCTAAGAATCTGAACTTCAGTCGCATATTGACTGCTTCATTTCAGTTCCATTGTGCTGGAGTACCAAGGCAAAATTACAAAAAAAAATCACTGTTTAAATACTTGTGGATCTGATTTTATACTATTTAAGACAATTCCAGATCACTGTTACTTTTAGTATATATACAGCTCGTAGGAGTTATAAAGAAAATCATCAACATTAGGAACTTCTGCTCAGAACTACACAGCCTTAATTCTCAGAAAATATTATCACACACACACACACACATCACAAGATCATTTCCAGTTGAAAAATGGACTGCAGATATAGAACAATCGTGTGAGCTCAACTTGCAAAACATACACAGTGACATGTTGACAGTTACCGTCACACCTTCTGGTTTTGTCCTTATATCCATCCTTTCTTGTTGGAGGTCATGGGGAAGTTCTCTGATATCCTGGGCTTTGGCATCCCCATCTGCCTCACTGTAGCAGTACTTAAAGAGGAATTCACCCATTTTTTAAAAAAAAATCTGCATTATTAAATGGTTAAGATGTGAACAGAGTCATTCAGTGTGGTTTGTTCTAAAACGCTTCGTTCTTGAGAAATTTAGAGTCAGAATTGTTCATAGTGGTGGTGATAGGTACCAGACATCTGAAGAGTGTAATTTCTCTAAAACAATGGTGTCCAATCTGATTAACAAAGTGCCACTGTGGCTCCTGGTTTTCATTCTAAACCAGCAGGACCACACATGACTCTTCTCTAATCATTTGGTCTCAGTCCTCAATTAACTGATCATGTGAGCTCCTGCATTGTTAGAATAAAAACACAGCCACACCGGCCCTTTATGGATAAGATTGGACAGCTCACTCTGAATGTTCCCTCGTACACGTTTATTACATAAAGTTTATATAGTCAGTTATACAGTGTGTGAGAATGTCCTCTCTATAAGGATCACACAGTTCCTCCGACACAGCTGTGTCAAAACAGTCTTTCAGAGCCTCTTCACTTCTTTCAGAGACCATTTCTTCACTGTGCAGGTGACAGTTGGCTCCCCCATGTACAAGTGGTTTGTTCACACGCAGAAGATGAACCAAGTTATGATTTGATTTTCCAAGGGGAGGGAGAGGTGATGAGTTATATGCCTCCTTGGTGTTGGCATAAAACAGATACAGTATTGTATTGTCTCTGGTGTGACATGTTACATACTGTGTGAAATTTGTCAGAGTGGAGGATGGAGAATCATGGTTAAAGTCCCCAGAGATCAGAATGAGGGCCTGTGGGTGCTGTGTCTGCAGCCTGCTTACAGCTGCGTGCAAGGTGTCGCAGGCAGCATCAGCGTTAGAACATACAGCTGATCCCTACTGTAAACAATAGGGCTCTGTACGGGATCTCCAGACGTGGTCATGAACAGAGAAAAAAGTAGAGCAAGGACCAGGGCAAACTGTACAAGTTTGGTGTCTATAGTGCAAAAACCCTTGGCAAACAATCAGAAAGTATAAATACTTAAAAAAGAAAAGGAGAAAACTACAGAAAGTAAGAAAAAAGCTCAAAGTGAGCTGGAGCTGCCGCAGCAGGCTGCCACTCATGAGGCGCCATCTTGATGCAGGCCGTGCATCAAGACCACAAAGCATTTTGGTGCAAGGTGTATGGGTTTAAATATACAATAATAAAATATCTGAACTGACAAATGCATTTCAATTACAATAATCTGGTCTCAAATTTCGGTAAATCTAAGACTTTAGCAGGTTTAAGATAAACCTCAGTTAAACCTGATATACACCACCATCTAGTGGCAGATGTGTGATGTGTGTTAGGTGACACCATATTTGGGTTTAGTTTAATCCACAGCTGCGGAGAACACAGTAGTGAAGTTTAAGAACCCACTTTCTCAGGTTTAAACTCAGGTTAAACTCTAAACCACAGATAAGCTAATGATGGTTCAATTTTTCCTTTATGTTTAACACAGAAAACAATAGAACTACAGAAAAAACACAATGTGGATCTCCCTTCATACAGTTGTATGTGAAGGTTTAGGAATGTTTTAGGTAAATTATAAATTACACTTTTGTTCATTTTTCAAATGAAAGTAAATGCAACATTAGCATGGAGCAAACAAATTCATGTTCATATATATTTAATACAATGTTACCATTTATTTGCTGAGTTTACTACAAACAACAGCTTCAGAAAGGTAGGACATCTTGTAAAAACAACAAAGGGATTTGTTAATTCTCTTTATTTAACTCAGAATAGTACAAAGAAAAGACTTCAAATGTTGTCACTGATTAACTTTGTCCAACTGTATTTTTGAAAATATAAATACGTTCAGAATTTAATTCCTGCAGCATACTAAAAAGTTGGGAAAGAGGCCTTTTTAGCACTGTTATATCACCTTTCTTTTTAATTACAATTTTTTAATCATTTGGGAACTGATGGTACTAATTGTACCATAGTACCTTCATAATTGTACAATGGTACTAATTGAAATTGTACTAATTGTTTTTGCTTGATACAAGACTTGATGCTCAACAGTCTGTGGTTGTTGTTGCCTGATGCTCCTATTCATTATATGTCATACACTTTCAATACAGGAATGATCCGGACTGCAGACAGGCCATTCAAGCACACACACTCTATGTCTACGCAGCCATGCTGTTGTAGCAAATGCAGAATGAGGCCTGGCATTGTCTTGCTGAAATAATCATGGGCTTCCTAAGAGAAGACATTGTCTTGATGTTCTGATACACTCCTCTGCGTCAATGGTACCTTCACATGTATGCAAGTCACTCACACCGTTGGCACTGATGGCCCCATACCATGAGAGATCTTGGCTTTTGGACCTTTTGCTGATAAAAAGTCTTGATGCTTTATTCTTGGGCATGAAAAACTCCATTTTTTCACAAAACACAGCTGAAACATGGACTCATCTGCACAGCACACATTTCTTTGAGACCATCTGAGATGAGCTCGGGCCCAGAGAACTTGGCAGTGTTTCTTCATAGAATTGATGTGTGGCTTTTTCCTTGCATAATAATAGAGTTTCAAGTTGCACTTGTTGATACTGCAGTTGACTGTGTTAAGTGATAACAATTTTCTGAAATACTCCTGAGCCCATTTGGCTATATTTAACACAGCAGAATGACCGTTTCTCATGCAGTCCTGTCTGAAGATTCAAAGGTTGCACACATTTGTAGCAAAAGCGGTTTTAATGTGTATGAATTTCATCAAACTATTGCATTTGATGTTAATTTACAGTAATTAATATTATAGTTAAAATACAATATCTTTTATGAAAGGAATTTTTAAGGTCGAATTGTCTATGATGTCATCGCTATAACAGTCACTGTCACTGGTGTTATGTTCAGATACAGAGGGGTTACACATTCAACAGTGGTTTCTGGCCTTGACCTACATGGACATCTTGCATTGAGAAATGTTAAAATCTGATAATCTTTCCATGTTGGTGATACTTGTGCATAGTACTACACAGTATGCCAGTGCATCACTGTTGCCATGCCAAGCAAATCTTCCAACAGGTCTATGGCAGTGAGGTGGAGGGTTTTGCTTTGCCTAACTGGCCAGTCTACTAGCATTTTTCAAAAGATATTTCTTGGTCTTCCAGAACTTTCAATAGTTGTCCTTACGGTTCATTGCTTAAGGCCATTTCAAACACCGAACGTTTATAAGCAGGAAGCGTTCTGATTAATTTTATATTTTTTTTCTGTTTTGTAAGTGTCAATTACCTATAGTTTCAAATAAGTCCATGGTGTAAACCCCCTAGAAGTTTTGAAAGACCACAATTTATTTTGCTCTGAAACTGTCTATACATGACTTGGATTAAGGCCTAATAAGAAAATAAGCACTGAGAACTTAGCAAAAAAATACACATACAGCAAAATTCTTATCTCAGCTCTTTAATGACCTTGCAAAGCAGAGGATCCAGTTACGTTCAGTGGGAAAAATATGACAGTTGTACATAGAATAAAGCATATTGAGTTTGGGATCACTTTGTTTACCACAGTATGTAATGGTGGTGGTTTTTGAATAATCCCAGTCATTTTAGCTAAGAAGAAATGCAATGTAGCTAGTATCTGCATAGTGACATGACTTCAGTGGTCTATGCGTGTATTTACGGAGTTTGAGTAATTTCTCGTCAGATGGAAGTTCCTTACACTTTCTGCCGGTTGATGTAATTCTTGATTTGGATTAGACTAGTTTTGTTGCATTGCAAATTAAGTTTTACATTTTCTTTTTTTTTTTTCCAGAAATGAATGATGTCCTGTTTCAAGTTTTCTCCTGCACTTTCCTACTCAGCTTAAGTGTGCTTCTTTAGACACCACAGGACATTCCACCAAGCGGAAAGTTAAGCTGCTGAAACAGGTGATTATATAAGAATATGGCATCCAGAAGACGTTCTGGTACTTTGCAAATGTCATTTGGTACCCCTCACATGAACATATCTCACACACAAACACAGGAACACAGCAACGAGAGAAATCAATACTGCTTGGAGTGTGGGAAGAGTTTTACTAAACAGAGTCATCTCAGAACACACCAGCGCATTCACACGGGAGAGAAGCCGTATGACTGCTCAGAGTGTGGGAAGAGTTTTACTGAACGGAGCACTCTCCGACAGCACCAGCGCATTCACACGGGAGAGAAGCCGTATCACTGCTCAGAGTGTGGGAAGAGTTTTACTAGACAGAGTAAACTCAAAATACACCAGCGCATCCACACAGGAGAGAAGCCATATCACTGCTCAGAGTGTGGGAAGAGTTTTAGTCAAAAGAGTAATCTTGAACAGCACCAGCACATTCACACAGGAGTGAAGCCATATCACTGCTCAGCATGTTGGAAGAGTTTTACTACACAGAGTACCCTCAAAATACACCAGCGCGTCCACACAGGAGAGAAACCGTATCACTGCTCAGAGTGTGGGAAGAGTTTTATTAAACAGAGTCATCTCCAAACACATCAGCGCATTCACACAGGAGAGAAGCCGTATGACTGCTCAGAGTGTGGGAAGTGTTTTACTGAACGGAGCACTCTCCGACAGCACCAGCGCATTCACACGGGAGAAAAGCCCCATCAGTGCTCAGACTGTGGGAAGAGTTTTGCTAGACAGAGTAAACTCAAAATACACCAGCGCATTCACACAGGAGAGAAGCCGTATCACTGCTCAGAGTGTGGGAAGAGTTTTATTAAACAGAGTAATCTCCAAACACACCAGCGCATTCACACAGGAGAGAAGCCGTATCACTGCTCAGAGTGTGGACAGAGTTTTAGTCAAAAGAGTAATCTTGAACAGCACCAGCACATTCACACAGGAGAGAAACCGTATCACTGCTCAGCATGTTGGAAGAGTTTTGCTACACAGAGTAGTCTCAAAATACACCAGCGCGTCCACACAGGAGAGAAACCGTATCACTGCTCAGAGTGTGGGAAGAGTTTTAGTCAAAAGAGTAATCTTGAACAGCACCAGCATATTCACACAGGAGTGAAGCCATATGACTGCTCAGCATGTTGGAAGAGTTTTACTACACAGAGTAGTCTCAAAATACACCAGCGCGTCCACACAGGAGAGAAACCGTATCACTGCTCAGAGTGTGGACAGAGTTTTACTACACAGAGTAATCTCCAAACACACCAGCGCATTCACACAGGAGAGAAACCATATCACTGCTCAGAGTGTGGGAAGAGTTTTAATCAACAGGGTCATCTCAAAACACACCAGTGCATTCACACGGGAGAGAAGCCGTATGACTGCTCAGAGTGTGGGAAGAGTTTTACTGAACAGAGCACTCTCCGACAGCACCAGCGCGTCCACACAGGAGAGAAACCGTATCACTGCTCAGAGTGTGGACAGAGTTTCAGGTTTTCAAAGACTGTAAAGACACACAAGTGCGCTAAGAGCTGTGGTGAAAACCAGGAGTAATAAGTGTAACCTTAACACATTCTGGGAGTAAACGTTTGGAGGAAACGGTAATTGTAGGTCAGATTTCAAAATATTTTTAGAGGAAAACCATCTCTTGTTGATTTACCCTTTTTGTAAAACATAATCATTGTGTTTTCCTGTACTGAACAACGTCAAGCTCATACACACAATGATGTGGTACTTTAGATTCCCCCAAAATGTGTTTTATATGTATTATACGTATATAAAAATCAAGAAGCTCTACATTCAATAATATAAGACTCTTTACTTTCTAGGGTAGTTGATCTAAGCTGGTACAGTGTTTCTGATGCAATGGTTCATCCTTCTCTCTCTCCCTCTCTCTCTCAGCCTGCTGCTTCATTCTTGAAGCTTTTGTTTAATTAAGCCTTTCCATGTGAGGTAATGTGTGTTTTTGTGAACATGTTTACCTACATCTACATGTTTTCCCTTTTGTGTGAAGTAAGCCATGATATGATGTAAACCTCTAAGATTTAATAGCTACCTTCTCAAATTATTATTAATTTAGAACTACCCCTAAAGGCAAGAACTCTTGATGACCACCCAGAGAGTTCAAGAATCATGCCCATGCTATGCTCTGAAACAGAGAAATGGATTTTCCTGAAAGACTCTGCTTCTGTCATGTCCACAGTGCCATGCAGTAGCTGAATCATTGAATTATTTTTTTTTTGGTTTCAGAAATTTCAGTTATTGAAAGGGTTTTCCTTGTGAGTTGTCATGAATATGTTGCTCCCTATTAGAAACTGTCAAAAGCTAACTAAGATTTAGTTACCCAGACAATAAATGTACACTGTGTCTGATTAGGGCCAAATGTGGTACCGCATCCAGTCCGGATCCTCAAAGCAGAGCTGGCCTGGTGTCTTTTTGCACAACGGCCAAATAATGGAACTGCTTTACCCAAATGTGAAATGGACCCTGTTCAGAAGAGGTTCAAGCTCAAGTTGATACTAGCAGCTGTCTCTGAAATGAGTCCTGCCCTGATTTATTGCATTTGCACCAGATCCATTCCAGAGTCGTGGTTCTACACTGTAGTCTGGGGTTCAATCTCCAGCCTGGGCAAGCACTCTACACTATACCAATGAGAGTCCTGGGGCAAGACTCCTAACACTACCTTCGCCTGCCTGTATAAAAAGGATGAAATTGTAAGTTGCTCTGGATAAAAGTGTCTGCCAAATGCCTTAAATGTAAAATGTAAAGAGTCAGTAACAGTTCCATATGCCACATAATTATTCACAAATCATTAAATTATGAATGTTTTCAGCAAAGTGAATTCTAAAAGGAAAAAGATTTATTGAACATCATGTTTTCAACACAGCATTTTTTGAAAAGTTAGTTCAAACAATATAAAATACTACAGTATAAAATGATTCCAGCCAATTTTGTTAAGTGTTAATGTAATTACTAGCCTCTTAACAAATCATTACTGGTATGTCACAATTTATATATCCATTGGGCCCTAATCCAAATGCTGGAATTCAGATAACTTAAAATGCTTGCAGTTCATCATTGCTGTGTTTGACAGCTGAATGGTGAACTGAATCTTTATGACCAATACAAATAAACAAAACATAGTGAATTAATAGGTGAATGTGTTAGCATAACATTTCCAAAGCTGTCATTAAGGAAGCTCATTATGTACACTTTTCATCGAGTTTCTGCTTCAGCCAACATCAGCAAGAAGTCAGGAACCAAACCTGTTGTCTTAACTGTATTCCCGTACACAGCATGTTCATAACTTTACTGAAAACACGGCTGTCACTATCGATTATATTGTTAATTGAGTTGTGTTAATTGAGTCTAGTGATTAATTTGATTTTTGATATGTACACCGAAATTGAAATGGAGTTATGACATAACTGAAGTTTGAGGAAAGACCACACCTAAAACTCCTTCTCAAATCCAGCTTCCTATACTCATGATGAAATTTCGCACCGACCCTGCTTCATGCTACTCACCTGCTGTCGTCTTGTCATGGACCTCGACGTTGTCGCATCCGATGACGACCTCTTTGGTGATAGCCAGCATCTTTCATCCCAGGAATCCGCACGTCCTGCACCCAGGCTCAAGTCCGTCATTGCGGTTCCTAACATGCCTGATGCCTTGGCTTCCTCATCTTGCCATGGCAGCTCTTGTATGGTGCGCAGCAACTCTCCAAGGTCTCTTCGATAGTCTAGATGACTATCTTTCAATCATCTTAGACCTCGCCGTTCGATTTGGAGGGTCAGGTTTCTGTGATTACCATCGTCTGTTCTCGGCCCGTGCATGAGCCCGTCTTCAGCAGTGGAACATTTCTACATATTGGGGCTACCTGGGTCTTGAGCTCTACTGTCATGTATTCGCTGGTCAAACTGCTCTCTCCTGTGAGCTCTGAGGTTGCCCGTCTCACCCTGCTTCCTCCTGCACTCTCGTTACTCCACCCCTTCCCACTCGCTGCCCTGCCGTAAGCTCTGCTCCCACTGCGCCCCTATCTTCATGACTTCCAGTTCCTGCGACAGCCGCAGGCTTCTGCTTTTCCTTGGGGAAAAGCAATTCCTGTCAATGCCTCTGCTCTCGCTGCTGACCTCTCCCTCCATCCTGATCATTCCTTCATCTCTTATTTGCTAGATGACCTTGTATTCAGCTTTTCTCCAGGACTCGCTGTGCTTCCTGCCTCTTCCCTTTCGTGTCGCAACCTCCTCTCTGCTCTGTCTGAGCCTGATGTCGTGTCTTCCCTTTTGGCCAAAGAAGTTTCGGAAGGTTTTATGATCGGCCCTTTCACTTCTCCTCCCTTCTCCACTTATCTTGTCAATCCTGTCAGCGTTGCCACTTGTAAAATTTCTGGCAAGAAACGTCTCATCATCGATTTGTCTGCCCCTCATGGCTCCTCAGAACCATCCATCAAGTGAAGTTTGCTGGGAAGGCAGATTTACAGTTCGTCTCGCCTTCGACTGCAAGAGCAGCCCCAAGATGTTCGACACCCTGGCTGAAGCCTTCTGTTGGTTCCTGCTGAATGTTTGCAGACTACCCCATGTACTCTACCTCCTTGATGACTTCCTCATGGTGGTCTCCCCTTTCCTTCCCACCTGCGTATGGCCTTTGTACCCTCTCCTCTGCATTTCAGCGTCTCGGTGCCCCCCTCTCTCCCGAGAAGTCAGTGGGTCCATCTACGTCTCCCGAGTTCCTTGGCATTCAGCTAGATTCAGTCTTGTTCCAGGCTTCCCTTCCACCCGATAAGCTGGAATGCATTACTGCTGCCCTGTCAGAATTTGTTCCCTCACTCCAACACCGCCTCTCCTTGGATGATGCATGTATCTCAGAACTCAGCTTCTGGCTCTTCCTTCTCCAGCACTGGAATGGCATCTCTTTCTTCTATGAAGACGCTATCCTAGTCCCTGAAGATCTGCAACTATTCACCAATGCAGCTCCCTTGATGGGCTTCGATGGCTTCTACGGTGGCCGCTGGTCTTCTCCTTGGCCTTCAGAGTTTGCTTTGATTTCTCTTGAATCAGGCGATTTCTCTGCCTTGTGGGAACTCTACCTGGTCATCATTGCTGCACTCCTTTGGTGACATGAATGGACAAGACAGATTCTCATCCACTCCGACAACTCCACAGTTGTTCATACAGTCAACAAAGGACGTTCTAAATCCTTAACACTCATGCCATTCCTACGTTGTCTTACTCGGCACTCAGTCCAACATCAATTTATTCTTCACGCCATTCACATCCCAGGCCATTCGAATGCTATTGCTGACTCTCTCTCTCTCATTTTCATGTCCATATTTGGACTCCATCCTCCAACTGACCAGAACAAAACCAATTTGGTAAAAGCGTTCCTCTGTACTTCTTTAAAATTAACTCTTATCTCAGCCCATATGAACCTCTGGCACTGCTACTCCTACTCAGGCTCTATCAAAATGCCTAGGAGTCAGACCCACTTTTCATCACAGAAACCGGACTCTGTTGTCTCCCATTGCTGGTTCCACAAACTCTTATGCCTAGTACTCTCATTATCCGGTTACCCTCCAGAGCGATTTTCTGCTCATTCCTTCAGAATCGGAGCAGCTTCTTCTGCTACTTGCCAAGGGCTCCCCCATCATACGGTTCAACTGCTCAGATGATGGTCTTCACAAGCTTACCACGGCTACATACAATGGCTGGCCTCCATTTAATCTGGAGTTTTTGGGGGTCGGCCTTCTCGTGACCCACAGAAGCCGTACTGAATTCAAAATTCCTCAGAGTTCCCCTCCTCTCATTATTTCATTTACCAAGGCGTGGTCTGCATTCACAAAATAGCTATTATAATTAAACACTGAAAATACATGATAAGACCGAGTCTGCTACCAGAGGAGTACTGGGATTACTGTCCAGTTTAGAGTCTGACCAATACATTGGTTGGCCCAAATCGGTATAAGAAGCTGGCTCTCCATCAGGACCTGGTGGAGAGGCAAAATGTGTTTGAAATTAATGATAATCAAAGACGTTTATGTTAATGTAAAATCATGACTAAAATCATTTGTATTTGCACTCTACCATTAAGCTTCTTTGCTTGTCAAGCTGAGTAAAATATGTAAAAAAATAAATTAACCAATTAAAAAAATTCAATAACTCATGAGTACTTACAAATATTGAAGTTAATTCAATATATAAAAGATGAGACACAACAACAAACACAACTTTAAGTGAACTGCGCTATTATTCTTTTCTTCTTCTTTTTTCCTATTCTTCTATTTTTGCCAAAAAAGAAAAAACTCATATTACCTACTGTGCTTCAGAGTCAGGAACTATCTAAAAATTGCAAGAACAATTATTATTATCAGTAGAAGTAGTAGTCGTAGTACTAGTAGTAGTACTTTTAGTATCTTTGTAAATGCACCTCCTGATGCTTCTGAACATATCAGCAGATATACATATATAGACAATAATAATGCTAATTGTTGCAACATGGTCTAGTCAACATAAAAGAGAGACATCCGTGTCTTCCCAGTTCCCCAACTCACACATAATACCCGATTGTAATTCTAATACATGTGCAAATATTTAAAATATAAAATAAGACTTACTTCA